ATAGAAGGAAGTATGGCAGTAGGCATTTGCATACCAAGTAAAAGGGAAAAAAGTTAGATATTATTTGCTTCTGTCTTCCAGACTGCAAGTGCTTTTCTTAAAAAGTTAGGCTGGTGTACATTGTAATAAGCCATGATGGATGAGAAGACTGACCTGGTATATGTAACCAAGCTTTGGCTTTGGGACTGGAATGTCTGAGCTCGGTATAGCATAGAACAGATCAAAGGGTTGGAGAGAGGAAATTGCAGCAGTCTAAAGGTATTCTTTCTCTCTCTACAGACTTCCTGTTCATTCAAGTGTCAATCTCAAATGATTGTCTCCTCTGACGGACATTTGAGACTAAGAGAAGATTCTTTGGTCACCACACATCTCTTTTCTCTTCCTTTTTCTCTCTTTCATACACAACCTGATCTCTCTCTTTTTTTTTTTTTTTCAAATGACTTGCAGCTTCCTGACTTTTGGCCCAGCAAGAAATCAGATAGAAGAATTGGCAGCTCCTGTCACATATTAGATGGACATGCATTGATTGTATTCATCATGGCTTAAGACGGTTGATTTGACAGTTCCATTTGGAGAGGTAACCAAGAGACTATCAGATCTGTTGGATGATCTTCAAGTTTAAAAATGTGTGGATATATAGACAAGGTTCTTGGTAGAGTTCAACAGACCGCCTGTTTCTTCCACCCTTGATTTTCATGGCTTATTACACCTAGTAGAAAGGAAGCTTTCTGCTGATCCAAGAGATTAGACGTTCCTCCTTATAAGAAACAGTTCCAGTCTCATCCAATTGCTTAGTAAGCAATTTTTGCCAAACTGCTATGCTGCTGTGGTTAACCCCTCTTCAGAGATAAAGAAAGGGGATTGGAAGGTATCTATTGTTGGCCTAAGAAAGAAAAAAAATAGTCTAAACTCAATCAATCAACCAGCTTGTTTCTTTTCTTTATTTTATTCTGATACACTGAATGTACAGTTGTGGTTGATCCATGGAATAGAATATCCAGACACTCAGGAGGAAGAAGCTGAAAATTTGTATCCTGGTAAGAACAAGGGCTATAATAGGTGAGGTGAATGCAGACTTCACTTTAAACAGAGAGGCAAGTATAATTAGTTTTTTTTTTTAAAAAAATGTTCTTTACCTGAGACCCAGCTAGAACAAAGGAATGACTGAAAAATATAATATATAAAAATATATTACACTTTCTAGCTTGCTAGAAATAAAATTGTGTGAATTCCCATCTATGATGATTTGGTCTGCTCTTTGGATTGTGGTTTTGAACTTCAAATTTTAATTATGGCTTGCCCTGTTACCTGAATTCACTTCTTTCATCCATGCCTCTCTCTGATGTTGCTTCAACTCTCATTTTTATTGCTCTGTTGACAATACCTCTCGGTTTTTCTAAACTGTCTATGTATGGCTTCCCTCATTTTTTGCTAATTGAGCAGAGAGGTTTAGCCTTGGGCATGGCGTATACCCTGAGTAGCATGGATTAGATCAGTGGGTGTCTGGATACTCTGTTTCATGGATCAACTGCAACTGTATATTCAGTGTATCAAAGTAAAAGAAAAGAAAAGAAACAAGCTGATCGATAGATAGAAACTACTCTACTTATTAAGGTTGATCAAAACAAAGAGGAAGTGGTTGGAACTTTAAAGTATATTGCTTGAGTAGATTTGCATTTTGCTTAAGATACAGGCTCTGACAACTGCACACTCTTGTTACTAGTGGTTTTGCTTAACTGAAGTCAGCATACTGGGTGTACATTTCAGAGAAGGCCTCCTTTATTAGCAACCCAGACAAGTGATAAAAACAGCTTTATTGAGTTCACAGTAAAGGAAATCAACCACTGGAGAGCTCCAGGTTCAGCTTGGAGGTGGGTAGGGAGTCACAAGTTCTGCAGGTCAGGTTTAGTCTATCTAGCAATATGCAAATTCCAATTCTTACTGCTAATAGCATTGTAAGGGCTATCAGTCTTGTGCTGCAGAATTCCAGATTCACCACCAGAGAGCAGCAGGGACTTGGGTTTTTATGCATCTCTTTGCAGCCATCTAGCGGTCATCCAGATGTTTGCAGGGCAGATCTGATAGTCCCTCTAAATCAGGGGTTCCCAATCAGGGGCGTGAGACAATATTCCAGGGGGTGCAAAAACTTGGTTTTCAAAATTATAGTGTATATGCATAATCTGTTGCCATTGAACTGGGGTGCGAGAATATATCAGAAGCGTTCTAGGGGCACGGGGTATAGAACAGATTGGGAACCGCTGCTCTAAATAATGTTACTTTGAATCACAAAATTGGAAGGTAATCATACAGTCCAAATTCCTGCTCATGATCCACTGGAGCATCTCTGAAAAATGAACATCCAGCCTTTGTCTGAACATGTGCAGAGAAGGAGAATTTGTCACATTGGGTGGCATCCTGTTCTATGGCTGATGGCTCATATAGTTGGTTGTTCCTCCTGATTTCCAGCCAGAGCCTCCTTCCTTGCAGTTTTAAATTATTGTTCTGGTCCTCCCTTCTGAAGCAATAGAGTAATTGTGTAATTGTGAGAGGGATCTTGGAGTCCTAGTGGACAATCACTTAAATAAGCAGCTGCCAAAAAAGCCGATAGAGTCCTAGGCTGCATTAACAGAGAGATAGAATCAAGATCACGTGAAGTGTTAATACCATTCTATAGTGCCTTGGTGAGACCATACTTGGAATACGGCATCCAGTTTTGGTCACCATGATGTAAAAAAGATGTTGAAACTCTAGAAAGAGTACAGAGAAGAGCAACAAAGATGATCAGGGGACCGGAGGCTAAAACATATAAGGAACGGTTGCTGGAATTGGGTACTCTAGTTTAATAAAGAGAAGGACCAGGGGGGACATGATAGCCGTGTTCCTATATCTCAGGGGTTGCCACAAAGAAGAGGGAGTCAAGCTATTCTCCAAAGCACCTGAAGGCAGAACAAGAAGCAACAGATGGAAACTAATCAAAGAGAGAAGCAACCTAGAACTAAGGAGAAATTGTCTGACTGAACAATTAATCAGTTGAATGACTTGGTTCCAGAAGCTGTAGATGCTCCAACATTGGAAGTTTTTAAAAAGAGATTGGACAACCATTTGTCTGAAATGGTATAGGGTTTCCTGCATAAGCAGGGGCTTGAACTAGAAGACCTCCAAGGTCCCTTCCAACTCTGTTATTTTGCTATTCCGATTATAAGTTTGTGTCTCATTTGTGTCCCCACCTATCAAATATTTGAAGAATGTTACCATAGCTTATTCATCCTTGCAAACAAACCTAGATCTTTTAATCCTTCTTCATAGGGTAGTCTGAAGATCCTTCACCTTAATTTACTGCAATTTGCCATTTTCCCTTTTGAGCTGTCATGCCCCGAACTAAACACACTACTGTAAATGGGTTTTGTATAGGACAGACTGGATTGAAACAGTTACTTCCTATAATCTGGACTCTGTGCTCCTGTTAATGCTAGCCAAGGTAGCATTTGCCTTTTGACCATCTATAATTCAGTCCTTGACGTAGTGCAGACCAGGAAATCAAAGTTATGAATGCTAACACTATTTTTATTACGAGGTTATAGTAACAGAATCTTCTGAGTCTGAATGTATCTCCCTGTTTTTATCCTAGAGAAAACTAGGGAGGGTCAAGACAGAGAAAGATTTATCAAATTACATTCCTGCTTTGGATTCAGATTGGGGCTCTCCTTATTCTTCAAGGTTATTCTCATAGTCCATTATGCTACATCACACTTCTGGCTCACATTGAACTTAGTGGTTGACAAGGAAACCCAGAATCTTTTCACATGTATTACTACTAGCAAGCATCGTCTTACATGTTTTCTACCCCAATGCAGAATTTTGCATTTCTCCCTATCGAATTTCATCATTTAAGTTCACTGCTCAAATCTGTCTGGAATTTGTTGAATTCTCTCTTTTGTATAATACTGTATTTCAGCCAAACTTTACCATCTTGTGCCATTTGCAAACTTCATAAATGTTGCCTGAACATCTTCATCCAAGGCATTGGTAAAAATGTTGAGCAGCAAAAAGCCCAGAACTTTTTATTTTGCCTTAGTGATTCAGCATAGATTACTGAGTTTGGGCATAGTAGATTTTATTGTAACAGCCCATTATCATTCATATTTTAGAAGTGGGAATTAAGATCTATCTAGGGAAGATTTAAGTATCTCAGACACAAAATAACGGGCTGACCATAACCTTTGAGAAAAAATGTTATTAAGATGTCCGCATACATAGCCATGCTGCTCTTAGCTCTTTCCTTTCGATATACTGCTTTGCTACTGACAGATTCATTTCTATAAACTCTGCTGAGTCTACTGTCCACACATCCCTAATTGTTTAAGTGAGGTTTGCATTCCCTCGGAGAAATTTCGGAAACATTCTGTTGTATGTCCTTCAGTGTACACTGTACAAGTGGCATCTGAAGCCGAGGGCACTTTTGCCATCTTTGGGTTGGCACTGCTGTTAATCAAAGAGGATTTCAAACTTACATCTTTGTCAGTGTTCTCGGGAACTGGCAGGAATTCAACCCTGCAGGATTTCCTGCAGGTGAAGCAGGTATTGTGTCATTAAAAACTACGCTTGCCCCATAGCATGTTTTGTAGTGAGTGCAAAGTAGGGGTGGATAGGATTCTGACCCATGCAAGGTTCAGGATTAAGTAATGATATTAATATTGAAATAACTATATGGGTTGTCATTTGCTTCTGGGCACAAGCTAAGATGTAGGTGGTTTATCTTTAAAGCTCTAAATGGCATGTGTTAGTGTGAATGTTCGGTCTTAGTGACTGCCTAGACAACTTCCTGAAGTTTTCTTGGCAAGATTTTTCAGAAATGGGTTACCATTGCCTGATGCAATCGTAAGGAAGATGACCTTGATGGAAGCAGGCAAGAACTATTACCCAAAGCAACAAAGGGAAGCATTGTAAGTCCACAATAAACCAAGAGGCTTCGACAGACACTTTCCTGGTTCATATGAGGACAAGAAAGGGAGGAGATACAGCACAACAGACTTGTCAGATTCCATTATTATAGCCACATTATATAAAAGGAGTTTCAGTCTTCCTGTAGAATTGATTTCCTGGTCTGGTGTTCCTGGTGGGGTTGACACTTCTTCTTAGGGCTGAGAGAAAGCAACTGGTACCAAGGTCAACCAGCCACCTTTATGCCTATAGTGAGACTAGAACTCATAGTCTCCCACTTTCTAGCCTGGTATTTTAATGGCATTGCATTGCTTCTTGCTAAATATTTAGGGCCTGACTATCTACAAAACCAGTTGTCGACTTAAAAATCTGCTTTGTTGCAGGTCAAAGTTCAGCAAATCTTTACCAGGATTTTAATTGCTACAAATCATGGTTGTCCAACCTTTTGGCTTGCCTGGGCCTCATTGAGTGAAAAAGGAATTGTTGGAGTCCACACGTAAGATATACAATATAATATAGTTAATATATAAATAACAAGTTTCCTTTATTTTTTAATATTTTTATATTTTCTTGTGGGGCCGTATTACTACGTATTACTATGTGACTCATGGGCTGTGGGTTGGACATACTTCTATAATTATTTTTCTGAGTGTTTTATTGTTAATTTGAATTTTCGATTATAACTTTATATCCTAATTTAATTCCATTTTTATTAGCTGCCCCAGGTGTTTATCCAGAGGTGAAAGGCAGGATATAAATCAAATCAGCAAGTAATCAGGGAACTTTTTTTTTGCAATAAACTTGAACGTTTTTGGAGACTCTTCATCACAGGGAATCCTTTCACCATATCAATGATTTTAATAAAATACAACAATGACAATAAAATTGTAACAACAATAATAACAGCAAAAATAATAACATAACATTGTATGTTTTGAAATCTAGAAGGTAAACTACCCACTGATCCTTGTTTAGAAAACAACAGTTTTAATAGCAAAATAAAATCATCATCACATCACCCAGAGTCATTGGGAGAATATAAATTGAATACACTTAATTCTTCTCCTTCTCCTTCTCTTTTTTCATCATGTAACACAATTTTTTAAAACTAGTAGGAAAACATGATATTTCAAAAGTCTTTTCCACATGAGATCTGGTGACGTGGCTTTTAAAACAACCCAATTAACATTATGATATCAAAAAACCTATACCTTGATATAGAAATAGGTGCATCAGTTATGTGTCTTTCACAATGTTTTTAGGCAATATTAAGTCTTTAATATATTTGGACTCCTTGGATTTGCCCCATCTCCATATAATCACCATTATAATTGAATTAGCAAATATGTTTCATACAACGTATGGATGGGAAAAAGGCATCCATATTGGATCTGAATTAATTATCACTTTTTCCTTACATTAACTGGCAGATAATTCTAAATTTTTATTAATTACTTCCTTAACTCCTTCATTATCCAACAAGTTTTTGGCATGCAGCCATCAGTCACCAACTGTTCGTTTTGAAATATGCAAAATCTTAATGCTTATATCATTGAGCCAATAAGTGTTCCTCCCAGTTATTTTATTTCAGTGAATTGAAGTTCTCAAATTCACCCTCAGTTTTAAAAATCACAGAAACTAATAATGCATGACAAGAGAAAATATACATCTTAGACAAACAAATTGACTTATATCCATATTAAGCAAGCAACTTATCTATAAGACCACTTTTCTCCAGCCCATTCAGTAAGATCTGGAGAGGTTGGCACACTTTAGGTCCCAATTGTAGAGCATTGTCATTGTGCAACCTATGAAGTCTACTTTCTGTGCAGTTGTGTCTGTTTGGGGGAAAGAGTGTTTTTGCCTGTTCGTATGGCCAACTCTGTTGGATATTCATAAAGCTGTAAAAACCTTGGTGTCTCAGCAGATCCTGGAATTGAATCAAGAGATTTAATGCCTGATGCTGTTTGATTGGTAGAGAGAGTCCCGTAGTAGGGAATTAGTGGCATAACCAACCTTTGTCTTCAATCAAAGCTGTCCAGGATCCTGTTTCTCACGATGATCATTTGGATCTTTCTGGAACATGTGGATAATATCTCCACCTGTTTTTATTCATTTGTGTTGAAAAACAAATTCCTCTACTTCTGGATCATAAAGCACTTACAGCTAGTAAGAGCTGATTGCTATATCTTCTAAAACTTGATCAATTTTTAATCACTTCTAACTGAAGGAGAAGGGAAGAGGGAAAGGAATTGGGATAATTAAAAAAATATAACAATAGAGAGGGAGGCTAAAGCACATGCATCTGTACTTATGATGATTGGCTAGCTGATTTCACCAATACATCAGTGGCAAGTAACCTATCAGCAACCCAAGTGCTTGCCTACTGAAGCAACTTCTGCTTCCATTATCATTCCTTGCCAACTTTTGATAAAAGGTGCCAAGTGGATTTCTGTCCTGCATTGATCACATTTTCTTACTAAGAAATTACTAACCCATTCTTCTCTCATTGTCTGGACAAGAAAACACTATTTGCTATATCCTAGCAGGTTAAGATGGTCTCCAGGCCAAGGTTAGACACAGGACTGGTTGGATATGTATGTATGTATGTATGTATGTATGTATGTATGTATGTATGTATGCATGCAGTGGTGGAATTCAACTGGTTTGTACCACTTCAGCAGAACCAGTAGCTAATTTTTTGTTGCCCAGGTCCAGAATGGACGTCCGGAAGTGGCATCCACACAGAGAACCAGTTGTTCACATATTTCAGGCATGTCAAACTGCTGGCCCACAGGTCGTATGCGCCACTTCGAAACCGTGCCTACCCCGTTGCCGGCAATGGGGAAAAAGTCACAATATCAACATCTGAATAGAGTTAAAACAATATAGTACAGTTTAAGGTAATCATTATAATATAGTAGAGATACAAAGCCTTATACTACCCAGGAAGATTGTTTATCTATTGTCCATTACTACCTTTTTTATTTCTAGCAGATTTCTAGAGATATGTATGTATTTATGCCTATAATGTGTGTTGTGTGCATAAATGTGTTCCAGTGCTGGCAACCAAAGGGTTTTAGCAGTTTATAATAAACTGATTTTCACTATCATCTGCTTGTATATTTGATCTTTCTTCACTGGAGATGCTGGGTTTGAAATGGGACCTCTGACACATGAATCATGTGACATAGCACCAAGTTTTGGTTCCAAAGAGCTTCCACCCCAAACCAGAAACACTATTATTAAACTCTGTTGAGCAGGGGTCTTCAAACTTGGCCCTCAGCCAGGCACACTGGCTGAGGAATTCTGGGAGTTGAAGTCCACAAGTCATAAAAGGGCCAAGTTTGAAGACCCCTGCTGTTGAGAAAGCAGCTTTCTAATAAAAGCAACCTTGATAGTGGGGAACCGAGATGAGCTCCCCACTTTCAGGTGAGGTTGCAACTTGGAGCTTGTACGTACAGGCAGTTTTGCTTTATTTTTGCACTGATGTCTTTGTTTTAATGGAGAGAAAGATGCCATTTCAAGACAAGAAGCGCTGCTTCAGAAAGAGTAAAAACTTACGTGTTCTGCCTCCCATCATTGTGGCATGCTGGTAGTAAGCAGAAGAGCCCAAAGGCAGAACTGACAACACAGGAGTTTGGAGGGCAATGGAAGCATCCTCCAAACTTGAGGAAATAGCAGTAATTTATCATCTTTTATTTTTGTGAAGTGGACGATGGGATACATGTTTAAATGGAATGACTTGCCTCTCCAGAAGTTGTGGATGCTCTAACACTGGAAGTTTTAAAGAAGAAACTGGACAACCATTTGTCTGAAATGGCATAGGTTTTCCCGCCTGAGCAGGAGGTTGGACTAGAAGACCTTCAAGGTGCCTTCCGACTCTGTTGTTCTGTTAAGTACAGACCTGGGAGAAGGGGCTGGGATGTGGCACAGTTCTTGGGTTCGGCTACTGACCAGAAGAGATTAGATAATGGTACATTAGTTAACTCTAAATGTACATTTAGGATCTGAATGTCTGAACAGATCTAAAAAGAGTCAAAACTTTATGGATCAGTTGTGAGTGTACTTTAAACTAGATTCAAAAGAATTGGGATATGGAAAGGCTGGCCATTTGGGTGAGCCCAGAGCAGAGAGCCATTGGTTTGCAACTCTTCTTTAACCCAGTTCAGAAGTTTTGGAATCTGTCACCACATTGCTTTTGCTTGTGAGCTGAAACAGTCTAACTCTAACTCTTTGGCTAATCTTATTGCTAGGATGTCATATTGATTTTCCTTGCAGCAATGGAAAACTGTCCGGCTCTTCTTGAAGAACTGACCTCTTCAGGAATGCTGAATACATATTAGCAGAAGTGTATAAACTTTCACTTAAAAGTTGTGTAAGAGAAACGCATAGCCAGAGCTGGGGGTGGGGTGGAGGGTTGGCCCAAGGAACAGCAGAGGGAGAGAAAGAAAGTTTTTATCATAAACCTGGTTCTGTACTCATATTACACCCACCTGGAACTCAGCACTGGAGAACAGATGGGCAGTAATATATATTTTTCCAGCTTGAAAACACCTATCATTGTTTCTGATTAAAACAATCCAACTCTCAGTTTGGTATATTCTTGACCACATACTGTACTAAACATATATTCTTAGCTCTTCACTTAGTCTCCTACTTTCAGAACTCAAACCCATTATTTCCCAAAGCTCATTTAAACACCGTCAGTGAGCAACATAAAATTACCTCCACTGTGTTTTCGGAAATAGATCCTAGCTTTCTTTTCTGTGTGTGTTTGTGTGTGTGTGTTTTCAAACAATTCTCAAGTTGCCAGCTACCCAGGTTATTACTGATAGCTTGTGTGTCAAATGTGCCATCTAGGAGGGAAGGGTGGGGTTTTTTTTTATGTTTTTGGAATAGTGACCTTACAAGAGGTAGAATAAACAAGAGCATTTACAAAAAAAATGTAGCCATCATGACTATAAAGCAGAAATGCCTTAACAAAATAATGAAGACATCCACTAACAGCAAATGAAATGCGACCTCTGGCTAGGACTTGATAGTGGCCCAATTGGAGAACTTTAAAAAATTGGATCAGCCTGAATAGGCACCGAGTAAACACAAGAAGTGCAACATGGTATTATTAAGCATAATGCACATTTAATGCATAATTTTATTGCAGCCAATTTCATGCTCCTGCCTCAAATGAGTCTGGCCCTCCTTTTGCTGGAGCAGTCCATACCATCAGCACCTCTTAAAAAGAATTGCAGGCCAGGAAGCTATCACTGGTCCAATCTTTTCCTCATTCCACACTTTCTGCTTCATAAACTTACAGAGCTGGTAGTGAGATCTCATCCTTGTCCAACATTCAGTTTGTGAAATGCTAAACTCTTTTGGCAAGGTTTTCCTTGATGGGGATGCTGGAACATTATCATTTTATGCTGGTACTAATGAGTCAGTGGACCTTTGGGTCCTCAAAGCAGGCATCATCAAAATCTCAGGCTGGCAAGATGGCTCCAGCAGTCAATTACATGTGGATTGTTTTGCAAATACAGTAATCTGAATGGATGGATAGATGGGTGAACAGATAGATAGATAGACAGACAGACAGACACAATTCTGTACTCCCTTTCACAAGACACGTGCCTGCATTCTTACAGTGGTGGGATTCAGCCGGTTCGCACCAGTTCAGCAGAACCAGTAGCTAATTTCTTGTTGTCCAGGCCCAGAATGGACTTCCGGAAGCGGTGTCCACACAGAGAACTGATTGTTCCATATTTGTACCCCACCACTGCCTTTTAACATATTTCTCAAATAAAGTGGACACATTTCTTATTACAGGTAGTCCTTGACTTATGACCGCAACTGAGGCCAACATTTCTGTTGCTCAGTGAAACACTGTTAAGTGAATTTTGCTCCATTTTTATGATCTTTCTTATCACAGTTGTTAAGTGTAACTACCTGCAGTTGTTCATTTAGTAACACGGTTGTTAAGTGAATCTGGCTTCCCCATTGACTTTGCTTGTCAGAAGGTTGCAAAAGGGGATCAGATGTCCTTCAGACACAGCAACCATCATAAATATGAACCAGTTGCCAAGCATCTGAATTTTGATCACATGACCACAGAGATGCTGCAACAGTCATAGGTGTGAAAAATGGTCATAAATCCCCTTTTTCAGCACCGTTGTAACTTTGAACGGTCACTAAACAAAATGTTGTAAGTCGAGGACTACCTGTATAGCCAAGAAGAGGGATTAACCTCTCATGGCGGCTTTCCTAAAATGGTAATTTATGCTGAGATTACATCTCCCAGCCTGGAGGTGGGAGCACTCCAGCCCTAACAAAAGAAGAAAACATGATTTAATCCTAGTGGGAAAAAATTCACAAGAATTGGAAAAAACAACTTATCCCTTAAGACTACAAAATAAATCTGAGGACAAGAAAACAGATTGGATAAAATGGACTGTAAAGATGTCAGGAACATCGGAGAGAAAGGAAATGATAAGAGAAGCGGAGAGAAAGAAAAAGAAAAAAATTTTCAACAAACGTGGAAAGGCAGAAGCCCCATACAAAGACACTTCACCTGATTTACTTTTTATATCTACAGCAACATTTACAAACATACGGAAAAACTTTTTTTTATTTCAGCAACATACATTGATTAAGAAAGATACGGGGCAAAGGAAAAAGACTAAAGTGGAAACCAAGAAAATAGATGATGGGACTTACCAGAGAGAATACTTAAAAAAGAAAGAAACATTTGTTTGAATATGGTTAAAGAAATAGAAAAGTTTTGGAATATATATGTCATTCTCAGAGGGATGAATTCCCTAAATAATATAGTATGCTTTTTTCCCTTTTTTTTGTTCTCTTTCTTGATATGAGTAATATAAAAAAGTTGAAATGATTTAGATAAAGGAAATGTTTTAGATACTTAAATGTGATTGAATTTAAGAATATTATAATGGATAAAATGTTTTGAATAAGAGTTAAAGGACTAGATGACTAGATGTATTAAATGAAATGTTTAAAGATTAAACATATTTTTAATTATGGTTAAAAAGAATAAGAAATTTAGGAAATAAATATATATTAGCTTAGGAGAGAGATATATTTTAAGTAGTATGTTATTTTTTAATATTTCTTTACTCTTGCTCTCCTTTATTTCTTTTTTTTTTCATTGTTTTATCTATTCCTTAAGAAATGTAAAAGTATGAGATGGTTCATATGGAAAAATAGAGTTAAGTTTTTAAATGTAATTAATTTTTGAAAAAATCCTAACCAGTAAGAATACCTAGAATTTGGTGGGAGAAACAAATTAAAATAAGGGCTGTAACAGGATCTATGATAAGGCAACCAGAATGATTAGATAGAAAAGAAATATTATATTGATGTGATTATATTTTTTAGGAATATTGGGAAAAATATATATTTAGTTGTTATCTATCAAAACAATAAGAATTGTATTAACTCAATGTTTGCAAAAGAGGATATTTTGGGAAAAGAGGAAATCAGCTAAAACCATTATGTGGATTATGGATTATAGAAATCAATTGTTAATGATTGTTTTACAAATGTAACCCAGACAACACACTGTTCACCAATTATTGTGATTTATGTTTTTTTAAAAAATCAACAAAATATATTACAAAAAAAAAAAAATTGTCAGACTTCACTCAATAGGTAGAACTGTAACCAATTAGGTAGGCGGACAAGAGCCCAAGAGCTCCTTATAAATAAGTTTTTATTGAAGAAATATTAGGAAGCCATAATGAAAGAATTCTAGCAACTGTTGCTTTTCGAGAGCACTTTCTCATTTCCATCCTGCATAACAGATTATTCAGCCTCTTCTTTTGAACAGGAGTGCTGGCTTTCATTTGTCCCTTGGTTTTTTTTTTTTCCAGTGGGACAAATGGGTTGTCTCTTTTACTGGCTGTGCAAGAACTCCATCTCACCATTTTAAGCGCTGTCTTTAATAGTAAGAAGCAGGAGGTTTGCCTCAAATCCACCTGCATTTTAGACCGCAACAAACATTTCACCTTGAAAGAAAAAAAAAAAGCAGAATTTACTACTGATATTAGAGATGTTCTCTCCATTGGTGTGGACAGAAGACATCTTGCTGAGGACCTGA